TTTTTTTATAACTGAAAGATCCCCGAGGGCCTATGGCGCACGGGAGCTCAGCCCTCTACCCTTCTCCACTTAAGTACCATGCTTTTGTTCGAACCCATGATAAAGGTTAAAAAAAGAAACAGTTTCTTTAATTTCTATTCTTATTTCCTAAGTCAAGATAGCAAGCCATCATAGGCTCCACATAGCAGAAAGACTAGCCTAACCAAACTATTAATTCAATCTTTTCCCAACAGATTATTTGCTTCAATGGTTGAGGTGCATCACTGAGCAATGTCTTTCAAGAAAATTCTTCTAGGAACATTCTTGACAACATTCCTCTCCCAAACCCCCTCACTCCTCCAGAACCTCACTCTCTGCCCTCTCCTCCACCCATCTTTTACCAGGATGACCTGTCCAAAGACACCATATTATTTATCAGGGGGTCAGAATTGAGTCTCACTTTTGTTCTTTACCCCCAGAAGTGGAAACTCCCGTGTTTTGAATTGTGCAACAGCAAAAAAGACATGTAGCTTGTATGTGCATAATGGACAAGGGAACAAATTTCACAGCGAAGAAGGAAAATCCACAAGCAGATCTTAACATGGATTACTTACCTCCATTCGGAAGAGCTTGGTCGGTACAATGACACCAAATCCAGCTGAAGCTCGGAATGATTCTTGGAATTTCTGTAAAGACAAATCTTTATACGCATTTTCTGTTAATTTGTTCAGGCTTCCGGTACAAGCAAAAGCATGGCCATGAATCCCAGCTTCTCTCAATACCCGCAATGGTAGATCAAAAGAAAGGTCTGCAAAAGCAGTAACAGCGAGATCTCCTCCCACAAAATCCATTGCAGAAGCTGCATCATAGCTCTCATCACTGGAATTCTCTACAACTTGCCTTCTAGGTTCAGCAGGTCCCAATCCCCTGGTCTTGAAGCCCAATAAAGATGATGGCCCCCCAAGTGCACAAACTGGAGAGGAATTACCACCCAGAAAAAATTTCTCAGGTAAAAAGGTAGGCAGACTTAAGGACCCACTCCCCCATGGGACAGTTACACCAGCAGAAATTCCAATGTTGAGAGCAGCATTATAAAATCCCAGAGGTAAAGCATAGCGGAAGTCCAACTCCTGTTCAGAAATCCATAAGTTTTGTTATACTGTGGATCTGATAGTTCAGAAGCATATATAGGTTCAGAATCAGACTGTCATAATGGTGGGAAATATATGATTGATAGATACCAGGCAAGATGGCGATAACGAGTTACAAAACTATTCTACTGCCACTAGCAGTCGATCTAAATGAGAGTGAGATATAGATTACATCTGAAACAACAAAACAGAATGGGTAAAAGGAAAACTGCAGTTAAATCTAACTGTTCAACATCAAAAGAAACCTAGATAGTAACAAAGTTATTTAAGAAAAACTTAAAGAGATTTCAGTCACACAGACGGAAAATCTATTTGAGAAAGAAAAAAAAAAGAGAAAAAATAACAGACAGTGAACTGTACGAACCTGACGGAGAAAGCGTAACCCCCGGTGATCTGGTAGGAGGCCACCAATTTGAGAAGACGAAAGAAAGGCATATCCTCGGGTTGGTCTCAGAGGAGAGTTTCTCCTATCAATTTTAAATGTATACTTTAGAGCTGAAATTAAACTATGTCCAAGCTGTCTCCTCACTGCTCTCGATGACATTTGTGATGGGTCAGTCAAGGCTCGCCAAGAGAGACTGTATGCCAAATCATGCCTTCTGGATGACAGTAGGCCAAGAGAAAGTCCCAAAGCTCGTTCTTTGTAAGAGGAGAACTTCAGCCAATCTTGAGAAAGAAGAGATAATCGAGCTGTCACAGGGGTGATCAATCTTTTGAATCTGGGTAGAGACACACCAGCACTAACCTCTGAAGTCAGGTCCCAGCCATAAGCCAAAGACCCATCCCATATATCCCCATAACCTAACAAGTTTTTCAGCTTCAATGAACCTTCAAGCGACCAAGCTCTAGCCTACAGAAGCAAATTGAAATTTTAATCAAATTCCAAGAGAAAAAACAGCAACTGATGTAAGCACGCTGCTTCCATAATTCCGAAGCATGTTCACACACCACGTGAGAGAACCCAATAGTTCACCAATAGCAAGATCACAGAACAGATTTTAGTTACACATGCAAACTGAAGTGAAAAAAACATAACAGCTTGAGTCTTTTCTCTCATCTCTCTATAGTATCAAACTTTGGTTATTGACTCTCTTCTTTAAATATTAGGTCTTTGGCAAATATCCCGAGAAACTCTTATTCTATTTTTATCCTTCATAATATCAGGGTTTGCTATTGAGGCCCTTATCTCAATTTGAATTTCCAGTAAAAGTTCTGAAAGGTCTTCCCTTATTTTACTTCACGAAATTACAATTTGTGCAATGAGTCCCTCCTCTAAATGTTGATTCCTACTCTGAGTTTCAACAACTTTTCCAATTACTCTTTACCCTCATTCTAGCAATGTTAATGAAGCCCTAGAGATTTCTAACAGATACTTCTCTCTGGAAATTGAGAAATAGACTTTTTCATGTGGGACAAGAAGCACATTCTTTCATTGTGCAGTAACTGCCAAATTTCTGAAAGAAAGAATTCCAGCACCACTTTATTTTTTTTTGATGAAGTAGCACCACTTTTCTTTTTGGAGATTGTAAACTATTTCGGAGAGACTATTTCAACGATAATATGCAGGTGTTGTTCCTTCAATCATCCTTATCAAAAAATAAGTGTTCCTTTAATCAATAACTTTTTCCAACATAGTTTACTTTCCTGTTTTCATAATTTTCTGAGACAGACTTTCCTGCTTACATACAAGCTAAAGCTGCTCATTAATTTGACTTGATCAAGGGACTAAAAATAGTTATAAGCTAGAATGCTCTAGATTCATCGTATGTTTAGGTTAGTAGTGTGGAATATTTATCCAATTCTGTTATGCTTATGAATCTCGGTATTTAGGGTGTTAAAGGGGATGAGAAGAGTACAAAAAAAGAGAGGAAAATGGAAGACGGAAGCTTCAAGAACCAATCCAAGACAAGTTCTCTTCTTCTTTTTCTTTTTTTCTTTTACACAATCCCGTTAAGACTATTAAGGGAACAGTATCATTAATGTCTATGGTCTACAAATACCATTGGATGATGAAATTAAACTAAATTGGGAAGATACTATACCTTCATCCACGGGATTCAAATGACCAACAGAATTTATTTTTTATTTTTTTGACAGGTAATGACCAACAGAACTTTATTAGTTCTTGGGAGAGATCTGCAGGGACATATAACTAAATAGAGCAACAGTTTCGACCAAAGACATGGAGAAATAGTTGTGGCAGCCGAAAATGCATAAGTGGAAGGCTGTCTAGAGGCTCCTCTAACTTATGATCTAGTTTTAACCAATACTTATTTTAAAAGAAGTAATCACAGTTGATAATATTTGAAAGTACACGCAAGAAATAGGCTAATTCAGCATCCTTTTGTTCAATTTCTCGTGGAGTAAAATTCTCGTGAGTACGAGTCAAGGGAATGGACCCCTGCCTCGGATGTCCATATAAAGAACACGACGAGACACAAGCAATAAGACACATAATAATTGCAAAATCATACAAAAGTAGCCCTAGCCACCTAATGGTCCTGGAGGCTGGATGTGAAGCTAAAGAGTTAGAAGAGCTACGAGGAGCCAAAAATTTGGTGGGAGAAGCTAAAATGCATAAACCAGATAGCATTCAGTGACAAGATAGTGAAGGAAGGAGGATGACATTTAGAAGCCAATACAGACATCCTTCGGAAAGAAATGATAGGTTGCATTAGAAAAAGTAGCAAATGGAGTTCTGGGTACATCTAAAAGCCTAGGACTTCAACCATAAGAATCATGATAAAGGAGTAAGCAGGTGCAAAGAGCTATTAAAGCAAAACGAGAGTATATGAGGTTACCAACAGCAGATCTTTCTCCATTTTCTTTCTAGTATATGAGGTTACCAACAGCAGAAAAGGGGTAACGATCTGAACCTAGTTAACTGTAATAACTCAGCTAAGTTTTGATCAAAGATAGGGCGATCAAGATAGAAATGAGACATAAATCATGAGAATAATTTTGCAAATCTTCATACATCCATGACAGACAAAACTTGGCTGACTCTAAGAAATAGGACTATTCAAGTAAAGATGCCACGGCAACAATAAAGAACACCGGATGGCCGAAATTAGAGGAAAGGGAGGAAATGGAAATTGTCTGATCCAACAAATCAATTACTGCATGGAAGGTAACTCAGAAGAGTCACAGACAAATGACTGTATGAAAGTTGAGGAGAAGTCCATACTACGAGGAGAAAATTTAACCATATATCATATCAAAGGGGAACATGGATATCATGTTCACACTCATGCTAGAAAGTGATTGGAACTTGGGAACATGCCAACAACGAGATGCTGGATAATAGATTTTAATATAGACAGATGCGGACCTAGGATTTGAAGTTTATGGGTTCCTACAACGACCTCAAGTTAATATACGATAATAACTAGGTTCACAGCCAAATATTTATAAATATTTAGTGAATTTCTTAATACATACACAGGGCCTGCAAAAACTACTGGATCCAGTGAACCCACAGGTTACACTGTAGATACACATAGATGTCCAAGTCCGCGAATAAAGCAGTCACTTACCTAGGCTGTTCAACTGGCTGTCATTCCAAGCTTAAAACAGATGAAACAAGGAACTGACATATCAAAGTTATTAGAGTATAGTGGTTGAATAAGGGACAAATATTGAACATGAACAGGAGCACATTTTTCTGAGTTATTCATTGTAGTGCAGCCAATTAAATGTTTTAATTGCAAAGTGTCACATGTTCCTCATTCACACATCAACCAACCGGTATAGTTTGAATTTAAACGTATAATCAAACTCAGAAGAATGGAGTAATTCATAAAATACCTCAGGCTTGGAAAAAACTCCAACACTTCCGGTAAGTGGATTTTCACTTTCCACAACCTCAACAACCACATTAGTAGTCCCAGGCAGCTCCGGTGGGCCGGAATCAAGAGTAATATTAACGGAATCGAAAATATCGAACTGTTGAAGTCTCGCATTAGCAATACTAGCCGCCTTAAGCAGCTCCTGAACAGTTGTGGCATTTTTTAGGGCTTCTACCTCAGCTTCGATGAGTGATTCTTTAGTCTTAGTATTGCCTTTAATAATCACATCGTGGACTCGTAAAGGTACTCGCTCTGACGATAGCCGCCGGAATAAACTCTCCATTTTAACCCTATCGGAACGCATTCGAGATTCTTCGGTAACTGGCTTGGGCTGTACTTCTTCTTCTTCATCTTCATCTTCGTCTTCTTCCACGATTTCTTCGTAATCGACGTCTTCGTCGGGTTCGGTCTCGTCGTCGTCGTCGTCGATCGGCCGTCGGCGATTTTCTTCGGGTGAGGAAGCCATAGATGATGAGAGTTAAAAGAGGGTTGCAAAAGGTAGGCGGGTTTATAGAGAAGAGAAGACTTGGGAAAAAAGGCCCCAAAAAAATAAAAATATAAGGGGCAAAGCAAAACGGCGCTGGGGGGTGGCTTACTAGTGAATGCTGCAGATGGGTTCTGTGTGAGTTTTTCGGGTTTTACACCTAAGATGTATGTTCTTTTTTATAATTTGCACCTTATTCCGTTCATATTAGTAATTTGTAGCGTCATTAAAATGGTTAAAATAAAATAATTATTATTTATTAAAAAATAATTTGGATTAATTTTTTTAAAAATTGATCAAATATAGATAAGAACTATATTATTTATTTAGAAAATCGATAACCAATAAATAATTAATGAGTTTAATTTTTATATTTGTAAAACGTGAAAAATTTTAACTTTGGGAGACTAAAAATTCTCCCAAAAGTAATCATATTCAAGAAGTCATGGATATTTATATTTTTCGTCGGTTAACCCGATTTATCCATATTAAATATGGGTCGGGGCGAATACTTTATCCATCTTTTTGCATTATCAGTTTTCGACTCGCTCATATCTGATACGGCTCGCCCGTTTGATACCCCTAGTAATTTGCACCCTAATTTCCTACTAATAATAAAATCACTCTCCTTTAACTTTTCTCTTAGAGGGGAAAAAAGAAAAATACCAACCCATATCTTAACCTTTCATGATCAATCGACTCAAATAAACTTTTCTTTGAAGAGAAAAGGACAGTGTAAATCTAACTTATATTTATTGTGTGAATAATTTTACGTTGATATAATTAAACTACAAATTTGGATGGTAACTCAAAATAAGTTTTGGGTAGAATATTGGTCGAAACTAATTAAAATTCAACCAGATTTAACTCATCGAATTTTTTTTAAAAAAAAGTAAATCATTTGACACCCTTGATTGAATGTAATACAATTACTAATAGGTGCAGTATTGAAAGATGATAAAGTTTCTCTCCAAAAGTAAATGAAACTTTTACGCAATACATATAACATTGGTGTTGTTGTAATTAATAGTTTTCCATGTTCTTCCTTATGATTTGGCAAGTAAATCCTCCTCTAGTTGTATATTTGTCAAGATAATAACATGATCTGAGGCTGACTTTCATCAAGAAGTACCTATAAATTATGTCTATTACTTCAATTTGTTAAATTCTAGTTGTAGTATAAAATATTATTGAAGTGACTACTTTTTTCACTAAATTCTTCGTCAATGGAAAACTTCGGTGCATTCTTCCGCTATTCCGTTTTCCTTATTGCTTACACTTGTGGTATGTATGCAACTACAATTGCTATTTGCGGTTTCCACTTGAACTTACAATTTTTTTTTTCTCTATAAAGTTTTTCTCTTTCATTTTTATTTTGTTTGTTATGACATTTGTGATAAGGTAAAGAGGAGGCACACGATATGCATTACCAAGAGTAATATCATAGAATAGTGTCGCCTAATAATCAGTAAAGTAGAATGAAATCATAGATCTCGTTCAAATCTTACTAGAAACAAAAAGGCGCTGCACAATTTTTCTATATATGTCTAAGCTTTGATAGATAAAGTTATTCGGGGTACGAGCAAGCTGATAATATCACTTTGTAAATTATGACAAAAACAGAAGGAAAGGGTATATCACAATTTTGTCCCATAATTTTTGAAAAGAATAAATATGCAAATCATAATCATGGTTCCTTCTTATTTAAAACCCACTAATGAATATGAATTACTCGACAAAATGTGATGTTATTGAATTGAACTTTTACATTTCTCTTTTACGTATGAATTATAATAATTATTATATTTTTATAGTGATTTTGTAATGTTTCATTGGTAGCTATGTTCGTAATGACTCAAGTTCTCTCAACAAATGCTCAGAATGCATTATGTGAAGCAGAATATCCCGGTCCTTGTGTTCCATGGAATCCATTTTGTACAGGTGATTGTCAAAATCGTTTTAGACCGAATTTTGTTACTTCAGAGTGTGTGGAGAAAAATCATGATACTGTTTGTGTGTGCTTCTACAAGAGTGACAAGCCATGTCCACAACCAAAGACTCATTAGAACTTGCATCATATTCTTCTATCACTTCCCAAAAGAAATGTTATGCAAAGAAAGAAAAGATTGTATTTTTATTTGATGATACTACCGAGGAGAGGTGTGCATGGACCGGGTTGGTTCGGTTTTTATCAAAATTAAACCAAAATAACTATATCGGTTTGGATTGGTTCGATTTTGTCGGGTTTTTCGGATTTTTTGTTACTTAAATATTATTTTAATCTTACTTTGTTAAATTATTAATTAATAAATATATGTTTAGTAAAAATATAAAAAATTGACAAACATATTATCTATTAAAATATTCTTATGGGAGAATTTTTTTAGTAACACATAATAGTTATTTTTTTAGTCGTTTAACAATAATATTTTCTTGATGTACACTTTCAAGGTTAACCGAATTTAGTACTTAACCATAAAAATCAATATGATACCTAAATAATAATAATCACCTCACATTCGAAAAAGATATAAGAATTTAATAGATCTTAACATATGATATGAATATGGAAAAACAAAAAGATTGATGCATTTCAGTAACACTTGATGAGAAAGTAATCGTACAACCTATTATTTAAGATTAATAAATATGGAGCACTTCATATACTATTAAATATTATATCCCGCAAGAGAATCCCAAATATTTCTAGATATTTTTTAAAGAAAATTCTATACAAAATCTTAAAAATATATACAAAAATTATATATTTATATATCGGTTTGGTTTAGGTTTTTTTACTCAATACCAAGCCAAATCAAACCAAACCTAGTCGGATTTTTTAATAGACTTGGGTTGACTTTTTGATTTGGTACGATTTTCCGGTTCAATTTGTACACCCTGCTGCCGAGCAAGAATGAAAAGATTTTACCACATGTGGGTTTTGCACCCGTTGAGGTCATTTGGTTAGGGTATACATATGATTAGTCTCCCAGTTTAAACAAAGGTGAACCGCAATTTTTGTTAGAATAAAAAGGCGGTTGGAAGAAAATTTGGTTATTATCTGAATATCCTAAATTTGTCTAATGTGTACATAACTTCACATCTTTACTTTCTTTCTTTTTTATGTTATATGGAAACATTGCCTAAAAGATTTAATGTCTTTATTTGATGAGATATAAATTAGTGTTTAAATTGTTTATCTTTTCTTGGTTAAATATGCAAATATTTGTTGTTCTCACTGTATTTGTTGTTCCGACCGTCAAAAACGGCCTGAAATCGCGTTTTTCTGACGGGTTTCCGACCCAAAAAGGTCGGTCGAAAAATACGGGGTCGCAAAATATTTGCGACCAAATCAGTCACAAATTTACCGTTTCAGTCGGAAAATTAAATAATAAAATTAATTTTTAATTAAATATTCCGACCAAAATAGTCGTACATATTGAGTATAAATTAATTACATAATTTTAGAAATTCTCAATTTGCGACCGAGTCAGTCGCAAATGTGGTAATTTTTTGGTGAAATTTGCGACTGATTCGGTCGCAAATTAGCCCCAAATCTGGAACAAAATTAGAAGAATTCTACTGTATTTTTAATTACACCACCTGCCAAATAAAATTGTCACGATCTAATTTCCCCTATAGGCCGCGATGGTGTCCAACGTCGCCGCTAGGCAAGCTAACGGTGAACTAGCCATGTATTTGTTCTTTTTAATAATTTCAAAGTAGTTGATTTTTATTTGTTAAGTAAATGAATAGCGAGAAATTATAGTAAGGTAAATCATAAATTAATGAGAGAGTAGATACAGTGAAATTAATACTCAAACCATAAAGTGTCTACTAGAATGTTGTAGAACATACAAAATATCTATGCTACTATCTGAAATAAGATAGACAAAAGTCAATTTAAAATCTCCACTGACACATACTAACTTCAAGTATTACGGGCCATTAAGTAAATTATAATTTCTTAAGTCATAAAAATAATATCAAGTGTAATCAGACTCTAAGCTTCATCACGCACAATTTATGCCAAGGTCGTACGACCCGATCCAGAATAATATGTACACTGCCGAGGGTCGACCGACACGAACCATAGATGCATCTATTATACTGCCTAAGCGTTCGTCCCGCTCCACAAGAAGAGAGAATACTCTACGAACATCCGATCTAACGGTTATCATAAGACTGATACACAAAGAGGCACAATTTCTATCTACGGTCAAGTAACTCGCCAAAACTTAAAATAAGTGAAGTTCGGTCTTTACGAATCCTTTATCAAGTTTCAATATAATTTAAGCACTTAAATTAACAAGCAGAGTGCAAATAATACAAGTAATTTCATGATAGGATCTTAAAACTACCCGAACATAAGCATGATTTGTAGCTACGCACGGACTCTCATCACTTCGAGCGTACGTAGCACCCACAATTTGAAGCAAATAGTAATTTAAAACACCTATGGCGTCAATTCCCTCTTACAAGGTTAGGCAAGAGACTTACCTCATCCCATAGCTCACTTTTCAGCCAACAAATTCACTCCAAAGTCTCAAGTCGGTGCCGAACAATCCGAAACTAATCAAATATTATATAAATTAATCAATATGAGCTCAAAAGCTCATAATTTAGTCCCTAGAGTAATTACCCAACCCAAATTGGAAGATTCATAAAATTCACCCCCAGACCCACTTGCCTGGATTCCGGAAAATTTTCGAAGATAAATGTTACCCATAATCCCACGAATTCAAATATGTAATTTTTATCCAATTTCATAATTATTTTAATGGTTTAATCCCATTTTTATCAAAACCTAGTTTTTCAACTAACCCATAATTTCTACAATTTACATGTTAAGAATCTACCAAAATTCACGTATTAAACTCACATTAAGTAGTAGTTACTTACCTCACGATGAATGGCGAAAAACCTCTCTCCAAGAGCTCCTCAATCGACCACTCCACGTGAAAATGAGATAAAAAATCACCTAAGTCCGATATAAATGCACCTCACTGCCCCATCGATTTTCGTACCTGCGACAAAACAATCGCACATGCGGCTCCGCTTCTGCGGAAAAGTGGGTCACACCTGCGAACCCAAGTTGGTTGGCATCTTTCCGCTTCTGC